AAATAAGTCTTCACAAATATGTTAAATGACTTTTAACAAGGATGCCAAGACCATACAATGGGAAAACTACAGCCTTTTCAACAGATGATACTGGAAAATTGGGTATCAACATGCAAAAGAATGAAGTTGGACCCTTACCTAACACCATATATAAATATTAACTCACAAGGGATCAAGCACCTAAATGTAGGACCTAAAATAATAAAACTCTTAGAAGAAAACACAGGACAAAAGCTTCATGACTTTAGATTTCCCGATGATTTCTTCTACATGACACCAAAGGCAGAGGTAACAAAAGAAAAAACAAAATTTGGGCTTAACGAAAAATTTAAAATTTTGCTTATCAAATAGCACTATCAACAGAGTAGAAAGGTAACCCACAAAATGGGAGAAATATCTGCAAATCACATATCTGATAAGAGGTTAATATATAGAATATATAGAAAAACTTCTAAAACTCAACAACGAGGAAACAATTAAAAATAAAGAATGGACTTAAACATTTCTTCTAAGAAGATATACGAATGGCCATTAAGCACAAGAAAAAACAACATCGCTAGTCATTAGGGAAATGCAAATCAAAATTACAATGAGATACCACCTCATACCCATTAGGGCGGCTACTAGCAAAAACCCAGGAAATAACAAGTGATGGTGAGGATGTGGGAGAAATTGAAACTCTTGTGCACTGCTGGTGGGAATATAAAATGGTACAGCCACTGTGGAAGACAGTATGGAAGTTCCTCAAAAAATTAAAAATAGAATTACCATATGGTCCAGGAATTCCACTTCTGAATACATACTCAAAAGAATCGAAAGCAGGGTCTTGAAGATATTTGGATACCCATGTTCATAGCAGCATTATTCACAATAGCTAAACGCAGAAGCAATCCAAGGGTCTACTGACAGATGAATGGATAAGCAAAATGTGGTACTCAGCTTTAGTAAGGAAGGAATTCTGTAATATGCTACAACATGGATGACCCTTGAGGACATTATACTAAATGAAGGAGCCAATCACAAAAGATAAATACTGTACAATTCCGCTTACATGAGATACTTAGAATAGTCAAAATCTTAATGACAGAAAACATAATGGTGGTTACCAGGGGCTGGGAAGATCTACTGATAAATTGCTTTGGGGAGTTATCATTTAATGGGTATAGTTTCAGTTTTACAAAGTGAAGAGAGTTATGAGGATGAATGGTGGGGGATGGCTGTATAATAATGCTAATGTATTTAATACCACTGAACTATACACTTAAAAATGGTTAAGATGGTAAATTTTATGTTAAAGATATTTAAGATAGAAACCCCGGTATCAATATCAGGTTTCTAACACCAGGCAAACAACAATTAGTTTTGAATGACGTTAAGGAAGTTGGATAACTTATACTACCAGTTCTGACTAAATCCCAAGATCAAAATCTGCCACTAGATTCCATTTGAGTTAGGTTAATTCAAAAAAAAAAAAAAAAGAAAGAAAGAACTGTTAAAGTTTAAAGCACGTTAAAAATAGGAATTTCAGGTTTCATCAGGTTTCATCATAATTCCAGGGCGACACACAAAAATATAAATTGATGAGGACAGAAAGCACATCAGAGCAGATAATGCGTTTTTGGAAAACAAATAGCAAGAAGAGAAAAATAACTTGAGCTGATACTAAAAGGGCTTATTAACAATTAAATTAGGTTAAGCTAATTAGATACATACCATTCAAGGTACTGTAGCGGGAAAACAAGACAAGTGCTTCAGATGCATTCAGTGTACATATAACTAGACAAGTAAAAACAATATTTTAATAAAGGCAATGATAAATTCATCAGTGACAAAGCAGCATAAAATTTTAAAATAGAAAGGGGAAGAAAGCAGAATCAAGAAAGATCTTGAGTTTTACCTCAAACACTAGATTCCACTGAATGAATATGAATTAGAAAGAAGGCCACAAAAGATGGGTATTCTACACTGGAGAAGAGTAAGCAGAGATACTGAAGTAGAAAATGACACTTCACATGCGGAAACAACATAAATCATACATTCACACTTAAGAAAAATGTCAAAATTTTCTTCTATAGGAAGAAGCAAGCTGTTCTACTGGGACAGGTACTGCCTCCAAGTAATCTGCTTTTCACTCTGATAGCCAAAAGCTACATGGCCATTTGTTTGAGGATGGTAAATTACGTCTCTACAAAATTTGACTACAAGCTCCCAGACAGCTAGGATGGTGTCTCTAATGCAGTATTTGACACAAGAAGATGCAGAATGAGTATTCAGTGAATTTAAATAAATTATGAGAAAGCCAGAATGGTACTATTTTCTGAAAATATGTAACTTAAAATATTACTCCTAAAATATGCACTGTGAAAAATTTCATAGTCAAGTCTGCTAAATTATGCAAATTTTATTATTTATCTTCCTTCAGAGACCACTGATGAGCATATTAACATATTAAAATCTCTGAAAAGTGCTGCAATATCAAAATAACCTACCTCTTTTAAATCTAGCATTTCCCAAACATACTGGCTAATAGAATTTTTTTTTCCCCTCAGATTAAGACTCTCTAGAATTAGTATTCCATCAAATACTTTGAGAAATTCTCTATTAGAGCCCAAATATAAAACTGAACAGTAGACTGAATTACAACATTCCTGGATATTTAAGTATGTCACTGAATGTATCTTCAATTTCACCGAACTTTCTGTAAATGACATGGTCTCCCAATTGAATTGCTTAAAATTATATTCACAGCAGCAAGAGAAGTTAAACAGGAAAACTAAATATTTAATCTCTCTCTAGTCATAAAAATGAATCTACACAATGTTTCTGAAGTACATGGACCATTACTTAAGTAACTAACATAAAGGGCTACATACATGGCTGGCTCAGTTGGTAGAGCATGCAGCTCTTATCTCAGGGTTTCTAAATTCGAGCCCCATGTTGGGTGTAGAGATTACTTTAAAAAAATCTTAAAAAAAAAAAACTAAAATAAAATAAAAATACTGCCACAAGTACATTTAAACACACACACACAGTATTATGTCAGTCTCTTTCCTAGCATCAAAGTCCTTTTCTCCTCCCAGCTTATTCTGTTAAATCAGATATGAGTTTACAGAATCAAAGTCAAAATTCTATTTCTCAAAAAGCATAGATCACTAAAATGAGTAACTATTTAACAATTGCCTGAGAACAAATATTACTATCTGAGCAAAATGTTAATAAACTGCGGTGGGATTAGGTTTTTAAATAAAAGAACAAGAGTGTCATAAAAATTTCCCCAATGCTTTACTTCCAGTATAAGAAAGTATCAATCTAACTTGAAAAACGTTTTAGACAGTGCTATGAAATTGATGTTGTTGCTCAACATTAATGATGTATACCATGTAACAAACATATCAAAGAGATCTCAATCCTACCCTCACTCATCTTGCCTCTGGTTCAACAAAAGATCGTGCCTGACCTATCACCCCATTTACAGGTTGTTAGTGCTATTTAATTCAAAATCTAGCAAATCCTATGCATTTTTAAGAGAAAAAAATAAGGAGGTTAAAAAGAAAGTCTTTCTAGACCCAATGTCACTGACTATTAAGACTCAAGATCCACTCAAGCAGTAAGTAAAATATTTAAAATCTGGGGAAGGTTGATAGTGAGGACTGTTTTTTTTTTTAATTAAGAGGTATAAAAAGTGATGGGGGAAAGATGAATATATCTTAATAAAGCCTTGCTAACTGAAGAGTATTAAGCAAACAAGAAAGTGGTATTTTTGGAAGTTTTTAAGTACTCTGAGAAAAATGATCAGTTCTCCAAAATAGCAATTTTGAAGTATATAAACCTATTATTAATATAAAAACCACTATGCTAATTATTAAGAAAATAAACAAAATGGCCCTATAAATTACTTTATTGTTCATGCTTTTAAATAGTGATGGAAAGGTGCCAAAAAGGGACAGTTAGATGATGTTGATATATTCATTCAAGAATATGTATAAATACCTACTATTATAGGTACAATAACAAGGAAACCTTGACCTATTTAAGAACAATTGATATCTAAATGACAGATAAGCATTTTAAAAAAGAGGGGCTTTATTTGTATACGTACTGATAGAAAGTACAAGCCACTATAAACCCTATGAGCAGTGTACATTAGTTATTTTGGAAAAGATTTTTGTAGGTAAAGATTTATGTAGGTATATACATTTTAGATCAAATTCTAATGCTTGATCCATTTTATCAAAGGGCCTTCTATAAAAGGTATCTTAAAATGTATTGAAAAGCCAGAAATCTTCAAATCTATATAATCTCTCATGGTACAGAGATTTTTATATTCTCTGCGTATCATACCAAAATAATTCCTTTAGCACCAATTCCTGAGTCTAAAGCTTAATTTTGCCAATGAAACATCTATATTTCCCTGTTAGAGATGTTATGGGTTATATAGAAAAGTTTGAGTTCATTTTCAAATGTTTTAATGCAAAAATTCATAAACAGTATTTTATGGACCCAAAAATGCTCTCATCTTTTGGTACTCAAGACTCATCAAAGATCACAGGTAACTCAAACAATGTGTCACTTCATTTCCTGGTATATTTATGAGATAATTTCCATAGAATATAACATGTGATATAAATATAGCCCAAGATCCAAGGTCTAAGTAGATTCTTATTCTGAATTGACTGGTTTATGACCAGTGGCTTACCATGATTTCTAGAGATACTTTTAACAGCAAAGCCCATATAAGGATAAACAATGCATTTTCCTTATCTTCCCTATTTATTCTCTCACTTCTATACTACTGGAGAAATTCAGGTATAGTTCAATTATTGAACTCAGAATCATCCATATTCATACTATTACTCTGTGTGGTAAATGTTTATAATCCATGAGGCTATTTTCCCCATATATATTTTAAAGTACTAGAACAAATCAAACACTTCCCACCCATAATTTAAGATCCAGACAAAACTCTTCATGTGAAACATCAAGGGGAAACTATGCCTTACCTCATACTCAATTTCAGGTAAGTTACTCTCATCTGCCTTCTCTAGCTTCTCAGCAGCCCACTTGCTTGCAGCCTCAGCAAGTTCCTTTTCAGTTAGCCTACTGGGTTTGTCTAACACCTAACAAAAACAAAAGAACAGTTCTATTACAATTCTCAAAAGCATTTAAACTTCCAATAAATGAAGAAGTATATCCCAGGGGTGCTTGGGTGGCTCAGCTGGTTAAGCGTCTGCCTTTGGCTCAGGTCATTATCCCAAGGTCCTGGGGTGGAGCCCCACATAGGGCTTCCTGATCCTCAGGGAGCCTGCTTCTCCCTCTCCCTCTGCTTGCCACTCCCCCTGCTTGTGCACTCTATCAAATAAATAAATAAAATCTTTAATAATAATAAAAAATACATCCCACTTACATTAAAATCATGTAAGCCTCCAATTGTATATAGATAACATGTACATTCTTTATTTACTTTTTCAAAAATATTCAACACAGAATTTAAGTAGCAATTCCATTTGGCCATTAGGATCTGACTCCTAATTTTGTTTATATAAAACTTCAAAAATTCATCTTAAGGAACAAAAGACACTGACAATTAACTAATACACTAACAGTATTTAAAATAAACAGGACATCATACTGATTTCAATGTTGTATCTTGAATTATATTCAATGAAATAAGTAACGCCAAAATATCATCAAGGTAAATTTCTAACTAATACAATAGAAAAGTCATATGCTATTTTCATAACTTGTAATAATTTATATAAATCCTACTCTTTACACAATATTTTATACACTTAAATTTCATTTTGATACTTCTACTGCTTCCCTTCTTCAACCATATCCAATACAAAACAATGTATGGAATTTCAAGTTACAGACAGACCTGGGCTTGAATGCCAGGTTCATCACTTGGTAGATAGATGATTTTATATGTATAATTAATGACACTGTAAAGCCTTGGTTGCCTCATTTACAAAACAGGTGTTAATAATATTGTTTTATAAAGTAGTTTTGAGAATCAAGAGAAGTAACAGACCTGAAAGTAGCACAGTGCTTGATACTTCAGTTTTTCTTTCTTTTCCATATTCACTGATATAAATCAGTTATAGTAAAATATTTGAAGAAGATCAATCAGTTCATGAGGTCAATATAAAAATGAAGAAAATAAAATTTTTTTCTGGATCACACGATTCCCACAATACTGTTTACAGACCTACGTTACAGAATAAGGTATAAAAGTTCTAAGCCAAGGGGCACCTGGGTGACTCAGTCAGTTAAGCATCTGACTCTTAATTTCGGTTAAGGTCATGATCTCAGGGTTGGGAGATGGCATCCCCACAGAGCATGGGCATGGAGCCTGCTTAAGACTCTCTCCCCCTTCCCCTCTCTTAAAACAAAAAACAAAAAACAAAACTAAGCCAAAAATTAGAAAACTTGGTTCCTTGGGCCCTTATAGTAGCTCTGATTCCATTCTATTTTATTAGCATACATTTTCATCAACTAGGTCTTTCACCTCTAATTTTGTCTCCACATCTTCTCTAAAGTCACATCATTAAATCCAAACATACTTCCTCTGGATGACAGTGGCATTAAAAATCTCCACATTAGGGGCACTTGGGTGGCACAGTCGGTTGAGCATCTGACTCTTGGTTTCAGCTGGGGTCGTGATCTCAGGGTTGTGAGATCAAGCCCCCTGTCAGGCTCCATGCTCAGCACAGAGTCTGTCTGAGATTCTCTCTTCCTCTTCCTCTGCCCCTCTGGCTTATTCTCTCTCTTTCTCAAAAATAAATAAATCTTTAAAAGTCTCCACATTAGAGTATACTACCATTTATAAAGTGCTTCTATATGCACACCTAAAAAAGTATTTTAATTAAATGAAATTCCATGAAGGTGGTTAGAGCAGACTTTATTACCCCAACTTATAAACCAAAAAACTGAATGGCCGAAAGCTAGTGATTTGCCCAGTCACTAGTAAATGTAAGCTGGAACTTATGACAAAGGCCCCTGACCTCCTCTCACAGCTTAGTCAATTCACCAAACTACTGGCTGGACATCCATCATAGTTACTGAAAGATAGTAACAGTGTATGTATATAGAGTGTTTCCACAGCCACTGAAGCCTAAATGTGTCACTCCAAAGCCCTAGCCACACATAATGTTAAAAAGGTAGAAGTAATACCTCTATTATTACTTAGCAGTAAGATTAAAAAGTTAAAAAAACAAACAAACAAAAAAACCCAGGGATGCCTAGATGGCTCAGTCTACGAAGCATTTGCCTTCGGCTCAAGTCATGATCACTGGGTCTTGGGATCAAGCCTCACATTGGGCTCCCTCCTCAGCTGGGAGCCTACTTCTCTCCCTCTCCCTCTGCCCCTCCACCCTGCTCGTGCGTGCTCTCTCTCTCTCTCAAATAAATAAAATCTTCGGGGAAAAAAAAGTTAAAAAAGACAAACTAAGTTAGAATAAACAACCATATACATATGAATACCTCAAAGAAAAAAATTTATGCCCATTTTTTGGTATCTGTTTTGAAGAGAAAATTATAGAGTAAAAATAAAACAAACATTCTTAAGTTCTCTCCAGTAAAGATGGAAGCAAAATCTTCTACAGCTGAATCCTTCCAACCATCTTTCATTAAATCTATACACCTGAAAAACTCTCATTTGAAATTAACTTCTAACAGTAAGAAAAAAATCTGAAAAATGATTCCTACATGAGGGCAGCCAGAATGTCTTAAAAGAAAAAGCCCTCCACCAAATCAGGAAATCTAGATAAAAGTGTCCCACAGCTACCATGTAACCCTGGGCAAGGAACAGAGGCTGTACTTTCCCAATATTTAAAATGATCATAGATCTAAAACTCTGAAAGTCTGATTCCATTTTAAGACAAAAATACCAATATCTACTTTAACTGTCAAAAATAGTTAAAGTCCACTATGGTTGCTTCTCACTAAATACATTTTAACATGTACCACAAAGTCCTACGTTGTAACCTACATTTACATTACAGTTCAGAAGAGATGAGTATTTCATATATCCTAATTTAAACATTCATAGTGAGTTGGATGGGCAACTACTATTTCTTTTCTTTCATTTCTACCTGACAATAAAAACAAGCCAGTCTTTCAGGTGGATAAAGCACCCTTGACATGTAAGGCAGAACCAAAGTTCTAATCAAGCTTTCCTATTCAAAACCAGCATTCTAGAACCCTCAGTCTTCTGTGAAAGCTCTAAGAACACAAGTTGTCACAAAGACATCTTTCTCTTTTTTTTCCCTTTGAGGCAGTCAAGTATCTGCTCCCTGAATACCAGCACAGACAGCCAGGGGACATCTACTCTTGCTGAAAAGCCAAGTATACCAAAGACAGAAAAACAGAAAAAGGAAGAGAATACAATAACAACAGTTATGGAAAGACAGCGTAAGGTTGGGGAAGAGAACCTCTAACTGCTGAGAGTAGATGGAAACAGCAAATTGAGGATTAGAATCATGGATCATCTGTTCAACATGTTTTGGGGTGCTGGAAGGTAGGAATAAGAATGATATAGTGAGGAGTAGCTATGTTCTTCAGAAAATTATTTAACTTCTGAGACTTTTCTATAAAATGGAGATATATATCTACTTTTTAAAATTACAAATTAGAACCATAGCATTAGCTAACACCTGTATCACACATAATTACCATTTCTTTTTTGTGGTAAGAACATTTAAGATCTCTTAGCAAATTTTAAGTATACAGTATCTTTTTTTTTAAAGATTTTATTTATTTGACAGAGAGACAGCAAGAGAGGGAACACAAGCAGGGGGAGTGGGAGAGGGAGAAGCAGGCTCCCCGCTGAGCAGGGAGCCCGATGCGGGGCTTGATCCCAGGACCCTGAGATCATGACCTGAGCCGAAGGCAGACGCTTAACGACTGAGCCACCCAGGCGCCCCAAGTACACAGTATTATTAGCTATAATCACTATGCTGTACATTAGATCCCCAGAACTTATCATCATATAGATGGAAGTTTATACTCTCTGACCAACATCTTCCCTTTTCCCTCAACCACTAGTCCTTACTGACCACTAATCTGTTTCTGTGAATTCAGCTTTTTAATTTAAGATTTTATTTATTTGAGAACGAGAGAGAGCAAGAGCAGGGGGAGAAAGAGAGGGGGAAGCAGGCTCCCCTCTGAGCAAGGAGCCAGACACGGGGCTTGATCCTGGGACTCCAAGATCATGACCTGAGTTGAAGGCAGATGCTTAACAGACTGAGCCACCCAGGTGCCCCTTTAGATTCCACATGTAAGTGAAATCATAGAGTACTTAGTCTTTCTCTGGCTTATTAGCATAATGCCCTCGAGGTCCATCCATTTTGTCACAAATGCTAGGATGTCCTTTCTCATAGTTAAATATTCCGTGTATATATACCATATCTTCTTTATTCATTTATCTGTTGAAGGACACTTAAGTTGTTTTCAGGTCTTGGTTACTGTGAATAATGATGAGATGAACAGCATCGGAGATCCTCTTTTCTTTACCTTTGGATATATATCCAGATGTGGGATTTCTGGATCACATGACAGTCCTATTTTTATTTTGTTGAGGAACCCCCACACTGTTTTCCATAGTGACTGCACTACATTTACATTCCTACCAACAGTGCACAAGGGTTCCCTTTCCTCCACACCCTCACTAACAACACTTGTTATCCCACCTTTTTGATGACAGCCATCCTAACAGGTGTTGAGATGATAACTCATTGTAGTTTTGATTTCTATTTCCCAGATAATTAGTGATGTTGAGTACCTTTTTGTATACCTGTAGGCCATTCATGTCTTCTTTGAAAAAAAAAATGTCTATTCAGCTCCACTGCTCAATTTTTATTTGGACTGTTTGATTTTTTTGCTATTGAGTTGTGTAAGTTCTTCCTATACTTCAGGTATTAACCCCTTATCAGATTTATGATTTGCAAATATTTTCTACCATTCCTTAGGTTACTCTTTTCATTTTGTTGATAGTTTTCTTTTGCTGTGCAGAAGCTTTTTACTTTGAAGTTATCCCACTTGTTTATTTTTGCTTTTGCTGCCTTTGCTTTTGGTGTTGAATCCAAAAAAACTCACTGCCAAGACTGATGTCAGAGAA